GACCTGCTACGAGACGCCAGCTTCTCTCCCCATCCTGACGCTCTTCTTGCTGAAACAGGGCGTTCCTACTGACAGGAAGTGTAACCATTCACTTTGGTTTTAAAATGTTCTTTTTTATAGCATGTGTATTATGTATCTGCAGCTTAGCTACTCTTAGTAGAACACTGCTTTTCAAACAAATAAATCCCACTAAGCCAAGGAGAGTGTGGTAAAGGATATCCAGTTATTTTATCCTCCTTTTCTTGGGGAGGAGGAGGGAGTGCTGAGGTCTCTGTCTTTTCACATGTATTGTAGGAATCATCTTAACCCGTGTTTATTGTTTTGCTCTTCCTATTAAGGCTTAAATTGTCTCTCCTTAGTTTTCTGAACTCCTTAATTAACTCCTGTAGGGGCCCAAGGTCACAACTTGATGTTTTGCTTTGGTCACACCTTGTGTCTTCTTGGTCTGAAGAATTGTTTGCAATATCCGCTGTTGAGTTTGTACCAGCTGATGGAGGCAGTGGTGAAAATTTGTTTTCCCCTCACGTAAGAGACCGAAGAAATAATGTGGCCTGGTACTAGTGTCTTTTTATGGGGCTTTCCACTGCCGTTTGACTTTGGACAAGATGCTTCATTCTGAGCTTCCTGGCTCTCATTTAGAAAAATGCAGCCATATCACAGGTGACATCTAGTCTCTGAGCTAGTCAAAAACAAACAAGTGAATTTAAAATTTGTCTCAGGAGCCTGAAAGGAAATCTATTTTTAGATAAGGCCATCTATTTAACTATAGAAAATATTAAAACAATATATTTTATTGTCCAAACAATATATATTTAAAACAGTATATAATCTCTTGCAATTTGGCTTGGTGCAAATTCAGATCAGCTAGTAAATTTTGATTCTGGTATATTTTAAACCCTCAAGTACATTATAATAATAATAATTATTATTATTATTTTAAATAATTTTCAAATATAGCCAGCAAACTATGTGTCAGAGTGAATGCAAATGAGGAAACCTGGATTTTATTCCTCATTTAAAATCTTCGTATTTAAGATGTAATGATGAATTACAAAGAAGTCTGAAATTTTCCAAAAGTTTCTGTAGTTGGGAAGATGTGTTAAGCCTTCCTATTTTTTTTTTTAAAGATTTCTTTTTATTTATTTGAAACAGAGAGGGAGAGAGATCACAAGTATGCAGAGAGGCAGGCATAGAGAGAAAGAGGAGAAAGCAGGCTCCCCGCTGAGCAGAGAGCCCGATGCGGGCCTTGATCCCAGGACCCTGAGATCATGACCTGAGCCGAAGGCAGAGGCTTAACCCACTGAGCCACCCAGGCACCCAGCCTTCCTATTTATTTTAACACATAATAGTTTTCATAGCACAGTTTTATCTACACTTACTATTCCTTGGTGCTGATGGCTGTGACTAAGTACCTGAAGGGTCTGTCTGATTGCCCAGTGCGTGTATGCCCTCTACTTTCCTTGTCACATTCCACCACCATGCCATTAAGCTTGCTTCATAAGTGCAAAGTCGTTTTCATATGAGCCTCAGTAAAACATTATCCCTTCAAGTGTTAAAAATAACACACATCTCTTTTGGCTTATTTGTATCAACATTGTTTTTATGCAACATGGAAGCTCAGAAGTTGGTTGTGGTCTGGATTGAAAAAGCCCCCTCAAATCTTTCTTCATTTGTCAAAAAAATGTGGAGATCTTAAAAGTCCAATTGTGTGGTTGCTCTAGCATCCCTGGAAAACATAAAAGAGCAGTATAAAGTACAAAACTACGTACATACTTTAAAAAAGCAGTAAATGGAAATTAGGGTTTTTTTGGCAGAGTGGTTGGTGGGAGAGATTTTAATCATTACTCATGCTGTTTTTGCAGCAACTGTATCTCATCAGGTCTAAGATGCTCCTGATTGTAAGATGCGTTCCAGTTTCAGTGACATTAAAGTATTTTAAAAATGTGGCTGTAAAATGGATGAAATGTGGTAAATGCAGATTGTCTATTCCCCAGGACCTCCAGAAAACTTTATTCCAAGTAGAGCAAAGTCAATATATGCTGGGTCTGTATTAGCTCCTTTTAGTCTTGTTTATAGTGAAGTAAGCTTTGATTTTTTAAAAACAAATTGACACTAACATTTAGATGTCCTTGTGTATGTGTGCTAGTGAGGCCCAGAAGTTCGAACTCAGGCTATGAGAATGTAACAGTCTAATTTAGGGTTAGAGAATATTCATGTTTGAAGCTGGAATAATAAGACATAACATGACCTTTCATCTGAAATATGCCTCAGATGTACCTCTTCTATTTTTAAAGCTCTCTGAAGATGAATTATGAAAATTCTTATCAGTAGAACTAGTTTGAGTGTCAACTAGATGTAAAGACCTGCGGGGAATTAATATGAATAAAATGTGCCACAAACTCAGAGAGACCTTTGAGGGACTAAAGATTCTCATTATCTAGGAAATTTTCTTTATCTGCTACCTAATTCCTTTGCTCAACTCAGAGTTTAAATCTATCCCCCCCACCCCTGCCATGGCCAGTAGAGATAGAAACTCAGTTATAATTATCTGCGAAAGAGAACAAATCTGATTGAGTCTGTGGGGAGTCAACTTCTTCTTTAAATGAGTTGTGTGAACCTGATTCTAGTATAAGATCTGGTGATGGAGGGGCGCCTGGGTGGCTCAGTGGGTTAAGCCTCTGCCTTCAGCTTGGGTCATGATCTCGGGGTCCTGGGATTGAGCCCCACATCAGGCTCTCTGCTCAGCAGGGAAGCTGCTTCCCCCTCTTTGTCTGCCTGCCTCTCTGCCTATTTGTGCTCTCTCTCTGTCAAATAAATAAAATCTTAAAAAAAAAAAAAGGTCTGGTGATGGAGACCCTGGAAGCCCAGATATTAACTACCTTTCCACATAGATTGACTGGCTTTGTGCAGGGTCAGTGAAGACACATCAGTAACAAGGACAAAATAGGGAAGTTAGAGAATGCGGGAAATGTGGATCATCTGGGGCCACAATGACATGGGTTGGTGGCCTGGTCTTATGGGCGAGGAAGAGTTGCTGGACAGCTGCAGGTAGTAATTGAGACACTTTAGTCTGCCTCTCACACCGACTTTGCAATAGGAGGTTTACCTCGATTTCCTGTAATGACCACCTATCCTGTGCCTCTCCGGAGGATAACATTCATACAAACAACAGACAGAGATGACAAGTACATCCGCAATTATCCATATACACCAGCATAGCTGGGGTATCTATTATTAGGCCACTTTCATGTTAAAATGTTCATTATTATGACATTTCAGTTTGGCATTTTAAAATTTCATCTCTGTCCCTTTTCGTCTGTTATATTTCAGTGACTCAGATGTCCCACATCAGAAGTGTGCTAGACTTGGTGGGGGTTGGGGGGGAATGAAACAGACACAGTCACTGTCCTCAGGGGTTTCGCACATTAAGACAAAGAGAAAAACTCAGCCCAGGGAGGGAACTAGCCCAGCTAGCCAAGAGACTTCTTTACTTCTTTGTTAGTAACACACAAAGCAGAACCTGCCTCAGGAAGCTTAGGAGTCCACTGATCCTCTAAGTCAGTGCAGAAGGCTCTGGAAGTTTGGTGATACAGTCAGGTGATACCGGATCTTTGTGTTCCCAGGGCTGTGTTCAGATCCTCAGATTAAAAAGGTTCTTACTATCTCCCCTTAGAGAACAGAATTGTCATTTAGAGATCAGCAACTGGGGGAGGTTAGCCATCTGCTATGTAGAAAGGGCCAAAGAGGTTTCTGTGAATTGAATTAGAATTCCCCTCCCCCACCAGCACTGCATAGTGATTTTTGAAAAAGAGGGACTTTATGGGCTCATTGAGGGAACCGTTTTAAATGGGAGTCTATGCAGTACTGTTTGCTGGTGTTTGAACCTCTCAGTAAATAACTTGCTATTGGCTTGATTTATTGTTACCTTCTTTATTGTGACTACTTTGAAGAAATACCATTAGAAGTTTTGAGATTTTACACAGCTGTTCCATCCATATCTGGAGATACCTTTTTGAAGAAAGGCGACATTTCAAAGGCAAGATATAAGACCTTACAGAAGCCATTTGGATCGCTCGAGTTTATGTCCGTTTGTTTTTAGATCGAGTTTGTGAAGTAAAAGTCTCTGTATAATTTGTAACTGTATTATCACAGTCAGTTCAAGTATATAAATTAACATCTGTTACAAATGTTGGTCCAAACATGCCATATTGACTGAAAACATACCTGTAGGAAATTGCACTCAAGGTGTGCAATTATAATTTAATTTTTTAGTGCTAATCAGGTTATACTCTTTTCTTTCCTGTCCATCCCATTTACAAACAAGTCAGCTAATGGCTAGAGCTGAGGAGGGAGAAGGGATGAAAAACAGGAAGGAATGAGGCACTTAAGTACTCAGAAAGTTTTAGCTTTGATTCATTTTTGGTTGAAACACAGTATGTGTTATGTTTAGTTTCTCCTGCTCTAAAATAGCACTGTTAATTTTTTCATTTGGTGAATTTTTCACACAAGTGCTAATCACACGTTTCTATAAATTATATTAATTTAACTTATTTCCCTAAATGTTGTTCTGCAGTGTGTAGCACGGATGTTCTCAGATTCTTGGCTGTGTAAGCTTGTTGCAGTTGGAAGCAGAACAGAAACATCTGAAAGGCATTATTTGAATTACCGATGCTGGAGCATCTGATCTCACCTTTTACTCTGCTCCTAAGTCACAACTGTTCTCTCCCTTTGTATCTAATCTGTACAGATGTCCTGCCTCCTCCATCTTTGACATTGCCCCAAGGTTGGCTTTTTGGAGAAAACACTGTCATCATACAAGTAGAAGTTAAAGAAAGGGTAAATTTTGGTAATCGTTTTTTATGTTTGATAGTTTAGTTTGCAGGAGGATGACTACTTCAGATTTAAAAGACAATGGAGGTAGGTGTGGGCAAGACTTCTTACCCCTAAAAAGAAGTACTTGATGATGGAAAACATAACTATTATTTCCTGTTTCTTTTCAGAGTATGATTTCATCCATTGTAAATAGCACATATTATGCCAACGTGTCAGCAACCAAGTGCCAGGAGTTTGGGAGATGGTATAAGAAGTACAAGAAGATTAAAGGTAAACTGACATTTTTGTTTTTAAAGCCTATTTTTAGTTTCTTAGGTCAATGAATTATTGGTTCTTTGGAGTTTATGCTAATTCTCTGTATACACTTTTATAAAATTATATACATAATTTTTACAAAGGTAAGTTTCTTAATATTTCCTACAGGAGATCCTAATTAGCTCCCTTAAAACTAAGATGGTATTAGAATTAAAGTAAAATTTGATGATAATACGTGGAGTTTACCGTTTTCATAAGAGATGCATGTGAAGGCCAAGATTTTTAGAAATATTTGAAATGGTTTATTTCAGATAGGCATGTCTATTTAAAAAGCTCAATCAATAAATCATTTTATTAATGATTAATGTATTAATGGAAATTCAAAAGCAGTCATTGTGGGTTAATCTGCACTTATAGTTCAAGTACCAATTAACAAATTGAAATGACTGCTGGCTGTGGTATCAGGAAATCTTTGGTTAGAAATGGAGTTCTGATGTGTTTATTTGGTGATAGTACCAGAGCAGTGGTCAAATCAAAGGGACTCTGTTGTAAAGCAGCCTTGTGTTCAAATGTCTGTTCTCCCTTTGCTAGTGTGTGTTTCAGCAAGTTATTTACCTTCACCAAGATTCAGTCTCCTCATCTGAAAATTGAAACAATGAAAGTATCTAAATCATTCACTAGCTGTGAGGACTAATTAGGTTAATACTGGCATAAAGAAACCTCTTAATAAATAATATCTGTAACACTAGAATGCTAAAATAATAATTAGTAGTAACGGTAGTACTAGCAGTAATATGGTAAATGTGGAGTTGTATCTGGTCCTGAAAATACAGTGTCCTGTATGATACGTGGCATGCTGTTTACGCCATCCAGCCCTTCAAATGTATCAGTGATCTTTTTTCTGTACAAATATGTCAATGTTGGAAACATTCTGGTGTTCCCACCCAACTGAGGTGCTATTCACATTCAGATGCCACCAGCCCCTGAGCGGACTTGGGGACTCTTGGGTGGTCGAGGGTCCATCCAGGCCCCGTTTTCTCATGGTTATAACATCATCCATCAAGCCTTATTATAGGTATTCACAGCCTTGCTGAAAGTTCCCTGCCCCCATCCGAGGTTCAGATGACCATTTACGGTGGGCAGGTAATAGTAAAAGATGAATTATTTGTTTGACTACCTGCCGGTGTCCTCCAGGGAGGCGGGATCGAAGTAACGCTTGTTGGCCGTTTAGTGTTTGGGATCCTGTTTCCCGGGTTACCTTTTGAGGGAGTGAACTTTACATGCATCCGCAGCACATTTCTGATTACAAAAGACTGACAGCATTTTATTCCAAATATCCAGTTTATAAGGAAAGTCAAGATGTTGAACTACCCAGCAGGAGTTAAAGTGCACTGCAAATTGAATTAAGATCCATTTCTCTTCAGCATCCTAAAATTCTTAGAAGCATGAAGCTTCTACTTTGGGCACTTGCTTTACAATATTACTAATATTAACTCTTAGACAGGATAAGATGAATAACTCCTTCTCATTACAAGATGTGATTGTGTAGTTCAGAAGGTTTCTTTTCTCTAAGTGTTGTCTGCAAGTTTTTCTTTTAAAGTAAGACTGTTGAAGTGTTTGAACATATCCTCTTTGGCTAAAAATCAAAAGAATCATGCAGCTTCAAGGTCATTTGTTAGATCCCATTTACTTGCTGTCGGAAGAGGAAAGGAAGAAAGAGCCGTCTTGTAATAGGCTGGAGTGTAATTCCAGATTCAGAAGCTCTCCACTCTAGTGTTTTCAGAATTGCCACTACAGAACCCGTGTGTGTGTGTGCGTGTGTGTGTGCGCGCGCACGCACGCGCACGCCACACACACATATACACATACACGAACACTTATATCTTCTACTTTTTTTCTCTTAGAGGTTCAATTCTTTAAGCTCTTTTTTTTTTCAAGATAGTAAATGCACAGTTAAATCTTAAGTGTCATAAAAGCGGACTGAGACCTTGATTTCAATCAGGAGGTCAAGGACCCACACCTGAAGAGGCTGCCAGACACTGTGTACACATGCTTTTCAAGGAGATGGAGCTAGTCATTGCTGTTGAGAAGTGTGTGTGTGCGTGTGTGTGTGTGTCAGTAGGAGGAGAAAAGGGAAGGTTAAGGTATGTGTGAAGTAAACACAAGCTGCCGTAAAACAGTTCAAGTGGTGTTGATTCATCAAGCAAGGGAGTGGGAGGAAAAACAAAGAATTCGTGGCAGGTATAATGGTGTACAGAAAATAAACACCCAGAGAAGTATATTTTATTAACTTTCGACCCTCAGGGAAAAGGCAGTGTCGGACCTATCCAGGCACATTTCATCTGAAAGAAGCTTTGTGCTATGAATAGATGTCACTGTGGGAGTTCCCATCGAGTAGAATCCACTTCTCATGGGAAAGGAATGATTTTGTTTGTAACATTTCTGTTTGTGTCCATCCATTTTCAAAATGAGAAAGACAAGGAATGAGTTTCAGATCTGGGAATGAGTAATAGCAAAAGCAGCATTCTACCTTAGGGCTCTTCCTGCTGAACCTGGCAGTTGGAGTGTCGTGTCCTTCCTTACCCCCCCTACCTACCCCATTTCCATCCCCAAATTACCAATTTACATGTAGCCTGGCTGTTACAATGTATAGAAGAAAATCTCATGCTAACTTACTAATGTCCCAAACTAAATGCAGCTACATTGTTAAATATGTTTCCTATTATCTGCTAATGTCTGTTTTAATAAAACAGTGGGAACTAAATGGTTGCTTCTTAATCAAAACCATGATTTCCTAACATAAGCTATGTGATTCTGTTACAAATTGCCACATATAGATCTCCTAGGTCAAAATTTTTTTCTCTTCTCATAGAAATAAATAAACAGTAAAATAATTATATACTCTGAAAGATCAAAGTAAATATGACTAAAACCTGGCAAAAATAAGAGTCTACAGTAGGATTAAAAAAAAAGGATCAGATTGCAAATTCTATAGTTAATGCTTAAATAAATATGAGAAAAATGAACAATCAATAATTCGATATCATTAAAAACAGATGTAAAAACGATATACAAATGGAATTGTCTGAATTTGGAAGTAAACATTTTAATGTGCATTTTTTGAACTTGTTGTTATTACAGCTAAACTATTTACACTTATTCTTTAAAATGTCCTAAGTTAGTTTGGCTTAGCATGGTAACTTTATTTTCCCCAGTGATCACAGCAGAGTACATTCTGTTTACCCTTTTTCTTTAATTTCAAAGACAATCATGGTTGACACACATATTTGAGTTATCATTCGTGTTAACTCAGGATGGATGGGGAGAGACGGTTGGCATCCTCTGCTTTTAACATCCAGAACTATGAACCTGCTTCCTAGGAATTTTTGATATTGAATAAAATGAAGTGGGTAGTTAGGGTAGTAGGTTGGTTTAGACAGTATTTTGTGTTGCTGTTCATCTCATACTGTAATTGCTTCTGGCCTAGATTTTACCGTGTAGAGCTCATAAGCTCCCAAGTATAAGGAAAAGAAAATCTACATTCTGTGTAAAAGCAGGGGGTATAAAAGACCAATATTAACAGTTGTTTAATGTTTAGGAGTTTCAGTGTTGGACACAAGGATAATCCACAGGGACCTGGAAACGTTCATGCTGCTACAAAATGATTTTCAAAAATTCTTGGGATTATGTTGAATTTACCCCATCAATTTTTCTTTCATAAGTTCTGCACACTTTAATGAAACACTTATTTTTTTAACCTCTTTCCTATTAACTATGTAGATATAAAGTTGCCTCATCATTTTTATGAAACTAAGTGGCAATTATATATGAAGTACCATCGGAAATGATACTCTCTGGCGATCTGCTTCTGCAGGGCATCTTCTAAGAATAAAAAAGTGCCTTAACAAAGAAGGACTCATATATTTTAAATGTCTCCTAATTAAAAATTAATAAGTTAAAATAATGTCATATCTAAAGTGTTTTTCATCTGACACCAAAAGCAAAATGAAGTGTCATCTTTGGTCAGGTCAGTCTCAACTATTTCATTGGTCACAAGAATTAAGGGGTCATTGCAAGTTCACACAAATACTCGTGGATATTGTAAAATTATTTGTGTCATAAAATAACACCACTACAATGAACGGACCTAACCAAACCCCCTATTTTGGCCAGAAAGCAGAATTATCCTCATCACTTTTCTTTTCTCAATCATTGCTCAAGAACTCCCTGATTGTTAGTTGTCTTAATTTTATTTATTTGAACTTATTTTGCAAAATATTAAAGAGCTGGGAGAAATGAGGATTTGTAAAAACCAGTGTTACTTTTCCAAGCCTGGTTTATTCTAGTAATCAGTATTTTATCTGACCCTGTCTGATCTAGTCTTGCAAGATCAAACGTCCAGGCCAGCAAGCAGACAGTAAACAAAGCCCGTGAAGGGTTTCAGTAAACACAAAGATTAGATGTTGAATGAAAATTAAACTCCTTGAACTAGTCCTCTGTACTAAAGTGGTTAAGTGGGTTGTGATTAAAAGAAATAAGTAATTATGATCATTATAGCTGAAATGATATAATGTTACCACATTTAAAGCACCTCTTGTACCCAAAAATGATTGTGTCATTTACAAAGTGGTGCCTCCGAGTTGAATAGAAAAATCCATGTCCCCTGACCTGGTTCCATGAGGCAGTCCCCGCTTAGCCACGGCGGTATCGGTGGTCACGACAATGTCTTTAATCAACGGCCGGGACTTCTCCCTCTGCTGTTGTTTAGTTCTGATGAGGTAAAAGCAACTTACTTCTGTCTACCTAATTTTTCTGAGTCATGAGAGAGATTTTCTTTCAGCTTTGGATCGAAATGAAGGTGTGCGGCAAGGAAGTTGGTCCCTCTGCCTGTACCGTATCTTGCCTGAAGTAATGCCAACATCAAGTCCTTGGCTTCTGCAGAAACCCTTGAACTTAGATAAATTTTACACAAATATTTGTGGAAATAGAAACATCACTCCCACAACCAGCTGCTT